AACAATAAAAAGAGTTGTTAAAAAAAACACGAAGTGATCAGTAAACGAATGGATGCCAGAATCACAGGGAAGAAGGCTAGAAAGGTAACTAGGGAATCAGCATCTATCATTACTTTGATATAGTCGACAATGTAAACATTAAAATTTGAATGATGGGGAGGGAGTGTTCATGCTGGGGATTCCAGAAAAGACTTTCTTGAAGCTGTTTGGGTGTCTTTTGTCACATATGCAGCAGGAGGAATTTTTCCTTCACATTAGGTTGCTTAATGCCTTGTGTATATTGGTATTTACAAGGGAACGCTTACTTGATGACCCATGCAGAATGCTATATAAATCTGGTGTGATACACCTTGATCCCTCCTTTACTTAACAACATGTTAAGCCGCACAGGTTGTGAGCTAGTTTACCAAGGGGTTAAAACTGCACTCTGAAATGTTTGCTTAATGCATATTTATCGGTGCATTTCGGCTTGCACTCTGCTTTTCTTCCAAAGCAATCAGAGAAAGTTTCTCCCTGTGTTATTCTCCCTGCTCACTCCACACAAAACCGTCTCCCACCCAGGCAATTCTCAGAACCCAGCTGGGCTTAGCTTCCAAAGAGAAAGGAAGATGCATTTTGTCAGTCAAGACAGGTCTCAGCAATGAGTTGTTACAGTTATAGAAAGAAAAATTGTTAAAAGAAGGCCCAGAGCAGCTGACAGCGGGGTCTGGAGACTCATGGCACAATGCTCTTCCTCAAGTGAAGGTTTAGCTCTAGAAGCTACTTGGATGGTGGGACAAGGCGTGTAAGTGCAATAAATACATACTGAAACAAATTCCTGAAACCTGAAGAGCTCAGTATTTAAATGCCACCTGCAACTCCCCCCCTTTCACAGTAAAAGGCTGCTTCACCTACCTCCAACACTATTGCAACGAGAGGTCATTTCCCAGAGAACCAAAGCCATGGAATAGACGTCGGTCTGCTTGAAGGATTCAACATTATCCAAGTTCATTCTGGATTCCAGGACTTCAGGAGCCATGTACCTCGCTGTGCCAACCTGTAAACATTTTACAAAAGGAACAGTTAAAAGGGCAGTTTGGAAAGTTAATGTCACATACTAATCTATTCTGGACAGTAAAATATGGGTAAATGTGATAATCTGTGGGAGAAATGTGAAAAGGAGGATTGCAGCTCCGTGTTAAATTCTTGGTGCCATTCACCAATGTGGGTACAAGTAAACAACAGCCCTCAGTAATAAGAAAGCAGTGAAAGCAAAACCTGCTCTCTAGCCCTGAAAAAGGGTCACCCAGCCCTCAAAGGTAGAGATCCTGCAGTGGAATATAGAATCTTTCCTATGGTGTGCTAGGCTTGTCTCCAAATGCAGCCTACCCAACACAGTGGCAGATGTTTTGCTAGCTTTAAACACTTTAGTGTTTTTTTAAAAAATACCATGCACTCAGCTCACCTGCCCACTGTTAGCCAGATCATCGACAGAGAGAGTAGGGTCCAGCCTCAGAGATAGCCCAAAGTCACAGAGGCAGCATGTTAGATCATTTTTCACCAGGATATTGGAACTCTTTAGATCTCTGTGGACAATCGGGGTCTTGGGTCGGCCACAAGGTGTATGGTCACTATGAAGATGGGCAATCCCACGAGCCAAAGAGCCACCCAGTTTCCAGAGGTCCTCCCAGCTAATGATGTGTTTTATGAGGTATTCCTGCAAGTTTCCCCTTGAGTGGAAAGCAGTGATCAACCAGTACTGTTTGCCTAAATCTCTTTTGCGCTCCTCTGCTGTCAAGAACTGAAGGATGTTCTCGTGCTTCAGGTTTATGTCCGAGAAGATGTCTTTCTCAGTCTTCCAAGAGGCATATTCTTCATAAGGGAAGATCTTGACAGCTACTGTTTCAAACTGTTCTGACGTATTTTGCTTCAGTTTCGCTTTATAGACTTCTGCAAACCTCCCTTTGCCCACAAGGGTGTCCAACTCAATGGGCAACAGTTCAGTATTATGGTTAATGTTGTTGGCGCAAGTAGAACTGATGTCAGAACGGTCGTCATCTAACATGATGGCACAAACATCACTACAGTCTTTATGCTTCTTGGATTTCACGTTCTTCTCCCATGCCTTGTTGAGCTTCCTCCTCCTCTGAATACGGTAGCAGTAAAAGATGAGAATCACAGCGACAGTGACCACAAGCAATGGGACAAGGCTTATTATAGCAACTTTAGAAATCACATCTTTCACTTCTTCTACACTTGAGTTGAATTCTGGAAGAAAGAGGGGAAACAACTGCGCTTAAAAATGGTTTATGGATATGCTTTCGCACAAGCAATGAATTTTATTTCAGCATGACCCAGGATCCATATAATCATGGAATTCGATCCACATTCCTAAAGGGGCAGTCATGAACAACTGTTTTTTTAAATGGTAGGGTCCTTTATCACATGGCAACTAAAAAAGAACCTTTCAAGATCAGAGAGCCAGTGTGGTGTGATGGTTAGAGCGCTGGATAAGGATCTGGGAGAACCAGGTTTGAATCCT